CTGCCCCGATCCACCCCGCCCCACCCCGCCGCTGACCACAGCGGCCACAGCGCGGCGCCTGCGGGTGCGCTCTGGACTCCTCGCCGCCTGCCGGACAGCTCCTGCTCCCCCGGAAAAATCTGCCCCGGCTCACGCCACGCCGCGCCGGGGAACCAGTTTCTTCCGGAGCTGCAGTGCACCGGCCCGGCCCCGCCCGGCCCGCCCCTCTGCAATCGTTTTGTGTCCTCATCGCACAGGTTGTTTTCCCCGTTTCCTTGCTTTCTGATCGGTAACGGCTGCTCTGGAATTCCCCGTCCCAATCATACATCACACGGCTAGCTGCACTGGGGAAAATAAAGGGTCGGACTTTAGAGGCTGGCTTAAACTTTACCCACGGCATTAAAAGTCCCCGATGCCTACCTGGCCTGGCACCCACTCAGCACAGGTTCAATGTGACCTGTTGGTAGATACGGCCCACTAAACACCTGCGTGTATTGCGTGGTAAATTCGCCTACTTTATTATTTCGCAACACTGGTATGCATTAAACTCAGCCTCCTTCTGGAGCGTTCTATGCCAGAAAACTACCAAGTCGGTCGGTCGCTCCTCTCGTTGTTTTCCTATAAGTGCGCCGAACAACCCACTTAGGTCATCTGCGTCCGTGACACACCGTCAGTCTCACACTGATCGTGGCTGCTAGCTATCCCCAGGCACCTGTCGTGTGGGGCCACCCCTGGCGTCCTGGCGTCTGCCGCATCGTAGTTTAGGCCAGATGAATATGGCGGGTTCAGTTAGTTATGCCTCGTAGTGGTCGTGCGGATCCCCGCGCCCCGCGCCCCGGTCGGAGCAGCGCGCCTCTTTAACTGGAACAGCTGATCACGGCGACAGACGAGGCGTGTCTTCATCATAATCGAGAGAGGGGAGCAGCCATAATAATAGAGACCACGCGAGTGGGACATGTGTGCCTGTGCACGGTCAAAACAATAATGTCTGCGATACTTATTTTAGGAAAAAAGGGAAAACTTTGAGGGTGTCATCATTTAGTTTGAGGGAAACTCCTCAGATCCTGAAGAAATCTCCTAGAGAAAGGTAGGAACTTTCCTCGCGTGTCGATGTGATATCCTCACAATCTGGGGAGTTTTACATAATCTAAAATAGCAAGGAGGAGTGGGGG